CTACTTTCGTTTATTTGCTTAATCAGCAATTTCTAATGATTCAATAATACTTCAAATAATATTGCTTATATCTAGATCGTAAGTTTAATAGCATATAGTCATTTATTAAGGCCATTTGGAATTATAATTTCGTTTACGTTTCTCTGTGGAGTTTAAGTGCAAGGTCAAATTCAAATAAAATCTACTATTGTATCCGGCTTGCTATCACGTGACTTATTGACGGATGTTCTTTTGAATATTTAACTCCCTTGAGAAGATTGTTAAACGAAGTCACAATTTCAAACCGCCTAAAAAAATATTGCGAAATATCGTTTAAAATAATAAATTATTAAACAAATTATATTAAACATCAGCATGTGAGTTTTAAGATTTAACGGTAGTTTGAGAACAGTTAATCCAGTGATCATCACAATATCACATGACTATCGTTCGGCCTAGATTGGGATTAGGTTACCCCCGAAATATATATAGATAGGTGAGAATTTAGTTTGCTTATTTTTGACTTTTTTTCTGCAGATGTTTCTATATTTGCTATATTTGGGGATGTCTAAAGCCGTGTTCAGTCATATGTTTTTGGCTATTAGTGTAAGGAGGTGTTTTATAGTAAAATCACCCTCCTGGAAATGGGTAGGTATAGACATTCGTTTCTCTTTGGTCGATCAAAATAAACAATTTTATTGGCGTGATTGGACACAACCCCTATATTTGGTAAATTTGTAAAACCTTACCTTTCTATATATATTTCGGGGGTTACGGGCATAGTTTAGGCCAGTATGTTTAATTCTGGTAAACAAATCAATTACTGGGTTAACTGTTCTTCAAGTGTTCCGGTTTAATATTAGTTAGATTAATGATGAATTAAATAATAGGAAGTAAGTATAAATTATAAAATCAATAATGTTGTTGTGTTTTATAAATTAACAATTATATCTTTGACATCAATAATCAGAGGGTAAGTTAAATGTCCATAATTACTCGCTAACTTTAATATAATTATGGTCTTCAAATATTTATAATTATATTTTTAGAATGTAAGTACAAATATTGATTACTTAAGTTCATTTTTAAATTAAAATTATTTATTCCTAAATAATATTCTTAAATTTAAGCATGTGAGTAAAGTCTAATTATTTAGATTTACTATGACGACTTTATAATTATCGTATATTAACGTTTTGTATACAGGCAGTTAGTATAAATTTCATTTATATCTATTTGTTAAAACAAGTTTTATGATATATTAACACAGAAACTAATTGTTTTTATTATATTAAATTGCCAGAGAGTAAGTACATTTATTTTAAGTTAAAAATTTCCAAAGATCTTTTTTTAATTATATTAATTACTAGCGTGTAAGTATATCATACTTTTATTGTAAAACTTGAATTTCTTATTAAGAATTTTATATAATCTAACAGCGTGTAAGTATATATGATTCATACTTATTTTGTGTTGATTTATAATTAATATGATTACTTAAACATTTTACCACCAGATCGTGAGTATAAAATCAACTTGCAATTATTTATAACTTAAAAGTTGTATAATAATTTATTTAACATTTTTTTAAATAATTTATTAGCGAGTGAGTATCATATATTTAATTGTTATTAAATTGGATTTTAAAGAGCATAACATGTAATATATGGTTTCTATCAATTACAGGTTGTAAGTAGAAAGCTATGCCTTAACTATTGTAATTACCGCTAAACAATTTATTTATGATTGTATTATTGCCAGGACGTAAGTATGATTACATATTTTTATTAATAGACTTCGAAATTATTAAATAAATTAATATTTTAAATAACTATAAATTTTAGTGCGTAAGTATAAATTATTGTATAATAGCTTTTATTAACTTTAGTTTTTAACAATACTAACATTTTATAAATTAGAAATTAAGCAGTAATTCATTGCCAAATACGAAAAATTTTTATCAAGTATAAATACACGTTATATATATTTAAGTTTTGTTCTTACAAAAGTAAATTGTTAAATATATTTATCTTAATTAAGTTTAATTTTTTATTTTTTTAGATAATAGAATATTTGTATATATATATAATATTAAGATTTTTTTCTTAATTTTTAAGTTTTTTTTTATCTTAATATATATATTTATATACAAATTTTATAACAAATATTTTGTGTTTATTTTATTTTATTTGCAAATTTTAATATTTTATTTTCAATATTTTTTCAATTTTTGAATATAATAAATATATTTTGTGAGTTTTATTATTATTTAGTATTAAAATTTAATGAGTTTTATATTTATTAATATTTTATATAAAAGTAAGTGTATTATAGTATTGACTAAATTTATAGTTTTAAACAATAAAAAAAATTTAGTAAAATTTAGCGAATATATTACTAAATAATTTTAGCATTTACCACCAATTGCGATTTAGTGTAGAGTTAGGTGCGGTTTTAGGAGTTTTATCAGTCATATCTAGTGTTAGTGGTAGAATTACTGAATTATGGCAGAATTAATTATAGCACAGAGCCCAATTGCTGTAAATATTTTGTGCCATACCATAATGCCATAATACCACAATGCTATAATGTCGTAATGCTGTAATATTGTAATACCATAATACTATAGCAGAAAAACCTTTGCAGACATTCGTATGATTGTCTGTTTAAATCAAATTAATTTTACATTATTTATACAGTTTAAAGTGCTTTTCAAAAAAAATAAACCTTCAAAAAAAGAAGTATATAGAAAGTTTTATTAGCGTTGTAGGACTCCACTACCCTATAAAAAAAATATATAATTATATTCTGAAAATATTTCAAAAATATTCTGATTATACTGGAAATATTTAAAAAATATTCAGAAAATATTCCAGTTTATTAACAAAATTATACTCCAGAAACATTACTGTTTTTTGAAAATATTCCAAAAATAATCAGTTACTAATCATATTTTACTTCTAATATTTGAGCATTTTCGGAGTGTTATATATATTTTATAATTCAAAACTATTCTGATTATTCATGATTAGTTTAGAGAAATAAATTACTAATAATCGGATTACTTTATGATTATATTTATAAATAAACTGAGATATATCTTAATAATAATTAAATTGTATCATGATTATTTTCTGAATAAAAATTAATATTTTTATTATTAATAATTAGATTACTTCATAATTATATTTATAAATAAACTGGATAATAATTAAATTGTATCATGATTATTTTTTGAATAAAATATAAATATATTTATTAATAATTGAATTACTTCATGATTATATTTATAAATAAACTGGAATATATTTTGATAATAATTAAATTGTATTATAATTATTTTCTGAATAAAACATAAATATATTTATTAGTAATCAGATTACTTCATGATTATATTTACAAATAAACTAGAATATATTTTGATAATAATTAAATTGTATTATGATTATTTTCTGAATAAAACATGAATATATTCATTAATAATTAGATTACTTCATAATTATATACGATTATTTTCTAAATAAATTATGATTATATTATTAGCAACCAAACTATTTGTATAAATAAATATATATGCTAATTATGCCAAGTATACTATATATCTATATAATATATATATAATTATATGTATCTTGTTTTTAATTATTAAATTAGCATATAATAATAATTAATTTAATAATTAAAAAAATTATATACTTATATATTTAATTTTTAATTTTTTTGATTTATTGTTTATTTTAAGATATCACTGCAGCTTCTTTAGTTAAATCTTTTTTTGCTATTGAACGAGTTGAGTAAGTTAATTGAGTTGGATTTTTTTCTTTTTTTTCTATACAAAAAATTAAATTTATTATATATGTGTATGATATTATATAACAGTTTTACTAAATTACACTAGTAGTGCTAACACCATATTAATTTTAACCAATAAAATTAATGATCTACAGTATAATATCAAGATCAGATGTAATATAAAATCAAAACAATCTTTGTTGTTTTTAAAAAAAACCTTTAATAACTCAAAATTCTGCTTATAAAACTACCTTTTGTGCTCTAATAAAAAAATTCTTTGCATAATTTTGGTATATACTAATTTTTGTTTACAATTTTAACTATAATCTAACACTAATCCTAACACTAATATAAGCTAAATTTTAATAAATCTTTGTTTATTTGTTTTGATAATAATTTTTATATTACACTGCATATATTATATACTAGTGTTAGTACCACAGGTGTAATTTAACACAACTGTATAATTATTATAAATTATATCTATTTAAATAAATATATATACCAATTATTTTTTTTGATTTCAAAATAGGATTATTAAATACAATTTCAAATACTGCTTAAGAATCTTTATTAAAAAAAAATTATATTTAAAATTATATATATATTTTTTAAAAAACAATAAATAAATTAAATAATTTTACTCAAAGATTAATGAGTATTATTATTATTTTTGATTATAACCTTACTTGAAAATTGTTGAGTATCATTATTATCTTCAATTATAGTCTTACTAGAAGATTGTTGAGTATCAGTATTATTATTAACTTCGATTATATTTTAGCCAGAATATTGTTGAGTATTATTATCTTTGATTGTATTAAAAGATAGTATATCGATTATATTAAAAGATTGTTGAGTATCATGATTATTGTCATCTATAATTTCATTAATAAGTAGTACAGACTAAAATTCTCTATTTGGCTTATTAATTAATGGTGAACTACTTTCATCAGATGATTCAGTAGAAGATGAATTTTTATTTGATAAAGATTGAGAAGGTTATTATTATTAGTTGTATTATTAGAAGATAATACCGTTTGAGAACTTCTTGCTAAAAATGATATTTTTTATTTTTTGAAGGTGTTATGTTTTTGTATTTTGGAGAAGCAGAGATGCCTTTTTCATATGCTTCTTTTATTTTAGCCTTATGAATAGTTTCTACTATGAAATATTTAATAATAATATAATATTACTTAATAAAAAAGTTAAATAAAAAATAGATATTTTTATCCAAGTTTTAACTCTAAGAGCTTTTGCAAAACAAAATTATCCACAAAAACAGGAAAGGCCAAAAAGTCTGTTTTAAACTAAATAATAATAAAATTTTATAAAAAATTTTTTAAAATAAAATAAATAAATATATAATAATATGAATTTTATAATTTATTGAAGGGTGCAACATATTGCACTTTCTATAAAAATTAGTGTTAGTGTTAGAGTTAGTGTTAGGGTTAGTATTAATGTTAGAATTAGGGTTAGAGTTAAGTAAAATTGTAAGAGGAGCATTTTTACTTAGTTACATAACAGGGGTTACCCTAATAAAATTTAGAGACATAAAAATTTTAAGTAAAGTTACAATTAGTTAGGGTTAGGATTAGAGTTAGAGTTTAGATTAGTGTTAGGTAAAATTGTATAATAATTATTTTTTGTTTATTATATGACAGGGTTATTCTAGTAAAATTTTGAAATATAGCTAGGGGTGCAATACATTGCAGATGCAATAAAAAATAAAACCCTAATAAAATTTCTTTCTTTATAACTTTTTGAATAATTTCTTGTTCTTGTTCTGATATGTATTTTCCTTTTTGACAGAATGTGTTTAACTGATCATAAAGATTTCTCTGCAAATTTATTAATGTTTTTAATATTTATAAAAATAAATAAATATGTAAACATAAAACTAAGAATTAATTAAATACTTATTCAATAGAACCAATTTGTATCATATAACAAGTTAAGAAAATCTTTCTAATTTTTGTCTTCTTTATTTTTTTACATTATCTCTATTTCTTTTTGGTAATTGGGTTTTAAGCAAAACTATATAGTAACTAAATTATTTAAAATTAATATTATTATAAGTTATTATTTAATATAATAATAAATACTTGTTGCTGTATTGACAATTCCAATAATAGTATTAGATGCAAGTGTTTGTTGTAAGGCATTTGGATTTTTTAATAATTGGAGCAATAAAGCAGTATTATTGTTGTCTTTTTAAAAAGTTTAAAAAGAATAAGAATAAAAAAACAATAAAAAAAAAACAAATATCATTAAATATTAATATCAATTATCTAATTATTGATTATCGCAAAGCTTAAAAGTCTAATTAATATATAAATTATTATTATTTTTTTTTTTAAATGTTGATAGATCTTGCCGTGACTAATCTTATTTATTAATATTTATAATAATATAAATACATAAATTTTAGATAAGAAGTCTGACTTCACTTGGTTTCATATCACAGTGCGAAATCTAACTCAGGCCTAAGAGCAACTCCCTCCTACCAGATCACAGATGATTGGAATTATCCAAAAAAAAAATTTTATAAAAAACAAAAATGAACTATAACTAAAAAGGGGAGATGAGCAAAAGAGAGAAAAGAACAAAATAAAAAATAAAAAAAAACAAAAAAATAGAAAAAAATAAAAAAATTTTATAGAACTAGGATAAAGTGTAAAGAGAAATTTCACCTCTCTATGTAATAAGAATGCACTATTATAATCTGTGCAAGGCTAAAAAATTATATAATGAATACAATGATTGTATATCTCTAATATAAAGCTTTGACTTAATGTACAAAGTTCTTCTGACTTATGACTGCTTTCAGATATCTCTTTAACCAGAGGTCTCGATCTGACTTCCCTGGAGTAGCACCGTATTTATAAACAGACATGTCATATGGTTGCATTCTACTAAGTCTATCTGAATTTGAAAAGTAAACAATGCCAATTTTTTGGAAGGGGTAAGCCAAATCTCCACTTTTTGTAAAAAATTTTGAAAGACTGATGGGAGGGCAAGGAAAAAAAGGAAAAAAGTCACCAAACCAAAAGAAAGTGTGTGGCTTTAGAAAAGAAAAAGTTTTGTTGTTTCCTCTGTGTTCTTCTTTAAAGTAACAACCTAGGAACTTCATTGATAAAAATAAGCTCTTTGCTTACACTCCACCAAGATTTTTTATACAAGGGCACCTCTTGCCAGTTAACTCATATAATAACACTCTTAGCTTGCATGCCAAATGTCTTTTTAGAGGAGTTCTGTATAGCAAAACATTGACTAGAAGTTGGAACTGGTTTTAAATATTCAAGTTTATTCATCAAAATTTGAGTTTATCACTTCAAAATTCGAATTTATTATATCAATTATTAATGGTTGATATGATAAACTCGAATTTTGATGTGATAAACTTGAATATTTAAAACCAGTTCCAAGCTCTAACATTGACCTCTAAACAAGCTATAACATAGGCCATGACTCTCCAATAAAAAATTTTGTTTTTTTATTAGTGGGAAAATTTGGTTTTAATGATCATCAGAAAGAGTTTTTTGAGTTTTTCATATATATATAAATTAATTAATTAATTAATTAATTAATTAATTAATTAATTAATTAATATTGATAATATATATTTGATAATATAAAAAAAATTATCTGAATGATCAAATATAAGAACTAATTAAGATTTATAAATTGTAGTATATAAAAATATAGTAATTGATGTCATTTTGTAGTATATGGTTTAGCATCATAGAAGATTGTATATTTTAAAATAAATAATATATTGTTTGATTAATAAAATCTTGATATAATAAAATAAAATAATACTGTAGCAGTAATATCATAAATTTCAGTTGGTAAAAACAAAATTAGAATTATATTAAATAATTAATATAATTAATTTAGCTGTTAATAAAGAATAAAAACTCTTTCCATCTATCATTTGTACACAGATTTTTCCAGTTTAAATATTTTAAAATACTTTATAACTTTGTTTTCTACTAAGTCAACCTTAGTTTTGCTACTAAATAAACTTATTTGTAATTAAAAAATACATATAATACTTGAATATTAAGCCAAAAACTTTCAAAATTATTGAGAAACGACTATTTGGTTTTTTTTATACATTTTATTTAATAACTCTAAAATGGCCATCTAAGCATACTCTTTGAACTTAAAAAAACTTAAAGAGCTTATTATTCCTATCATATCAAGCTAAATTTCAAGCTTGTAGACCTAAAACTGATAGAAATACACTTCAAAAACCTCTCAAATTTCTTTAAGTTTTTCTTTTTTTTCTCTAAGGGAAAAAACTCTATAGGTGTTTACCGTGCAATATTAACTATTTTTAAACCACACTACCCATGTTTTTAACTATTCAAAATTAGTAGTTCTCTACTAATTATACCAATTTTATTTAATTTTTAATTAAAATTTAATATTTACAAAACAAGAAATATTTAACTAACATGAATATTATAGTTTGCACCTATCAAATTATAGTTATGCAACACTTGTGCTATCTTAGCCACATTAGCTACAGTTACACAAGCCATAGCATCTAGAAGATTCTTTAGAGTAACATTACATGAAACAAAATTTATACTATCCCAAAGCTTACTACTACACTATTTCAAATTTATTAATAACTCTAAGATACAATGCCAACTCTTACTAGCAATCCAGCTGATACATTAGACCTTGACTATTTTCACTTGACCTGTAAAAATAGTTATGGTTTTGCACTTTTTGAGAAAAAGAGAAAAAGTCAAATAAAACTGATTCTCTCTATACAAGCACCATCAACTTGCCTCACCAAAACTACTAGAGCAACCAACAAAATGATGCATTTCTTCCCTGCACCTCCTTCTATTTCTATCATTAAATGCATATGCAACAAATACCATACCGAATTTGTCTTAAACCTTAATAATACTTACCAACTCTATACAGACTTTTCTGTAATTAGAATAGGAAAAAGTGCAAACTTACAAGATTTTGATAAAACTGCTACCCTTATTAATAAAATTTCTAATACTATTGAAAACATCTCATTCTCTCTTACTCCCCAAATATGTCATCACTAATATCTACAATGTAGTTTAACAATTGCTTGCTAATTCTACAATGATAAATATCACCTAACCGAAAACTATCAATTAATCAACAAAGAAGTCTACTATACCAACTGTACAAACACACTTGTATCTTCTTCTAAAATATTTCAAACAACTATTGTAGATCTAACCAGAAAAGATTTAACTCCTTTTTTCCCTAGATGACAAACCAAAGTATACACAGTCCTCCAAATAATCAACTACAAATCCACTCTCTTAAACTCTTAAACCTCTTACTACTACAACTACAGACAACAATGACAACTTAATCAAAGCAAAATCTATCTCTATCACAACCTTTATAGAAATTAATAGCGATACTCTTCAAAATCCACCACACAATACCGAAGTTAATAATAACACACCTCCTCTTCATAAAATCCCAATTACTAAACTTTATCCTCCAAAAACCATCAAATTCAACAAGAACAATACTCAAACGACCTATTTATCAATTGTACAAAAAACCTCAACCAATACTACTACTACCTCTCTGGACAAAATCAAACTAAACAAGCCAAACCCAGCCCAATCTTTGACTGGTTCTCCAACTTTCCAATCACTGAAGATATGAAACCTAACACCAAACTACAAACTTCTTTTTCTCAACATTTATATAACCTACTTAAAAAACATCTTTATAACTTCTACCCAGATTCTACACTTAAAGCAGCAACTCTAAACAAACACTCTCTCAAAGTAAGTTTTTACCACATTATTTGTTGTATAGCAGGAGAAAGACCTAACTTCCTTACTAACTATGTCTTTTAAATCAACCTTTCAATCAACTATTTTCTTTAACATACTAGAAGATACTTTTAAAAAAATTTTAACTAAATTTTCTTTAATTCTTTTCACTAAACTTAATTAGTAGTTTACAGTTAAAGAGTACAAATTTTATAGTAAAAATCGGTGGGCATGTGACTAATTACCTTATATAGTAAGTGGAATGCTATGTGCTTCCATTCTTATAAAAAAACTCTATAGTAAACAATTTTAA